CAGCAGGAGACAACTGGCACTCTCCCTTTTCCCTTCTCTAACCACTGAGCTGTCGTTTAAAAGTGGAGCACCACATTACATCCTTTCTAGGTCCTGACAAGGTGTCAGGATGAGGCTGTCTAACCCTGCCAAGATTGCGGCACTTCTGAGCATAGACAAAGCAGAACTGGGGCAAGTAAGGTTGAAAGTGGAGATGGCTGTGGAGTTTGGGATTCACCGCATTTAAATGACAGCTGTGGTGTTTAAGACCCTCTGCATTTAGATGGCAGCTAAGCTGGGCTTTTCAGGGTGGTAATTTTGGACTGAGGCTCTTTAGTTCTTTCTAAGTCCCATGTTAGGGATCCAAGTCCTTTTATGGACCTGCCCAATAAAGGCTAAAAGCGATGGAGAATCCATGCCTGCTTGGCTTCCCTAGGAAGGGCCCAAGTCTTTTTATGGACCTACCTGTTAGACCCCGACTCCATGTGGTGCCCAACGACTAGGGAGACGACGGTTCAATTGCTCATGGATCCTGGTACTCATTAGCCAGAGCAAGCAGGAACCAAACACCAGCACACATTGCTTGCAACAGCTTTATTTAGAATTGAGACAGCTTTGGGCAAGCTCCCTCACAGACGCACAGCCCATGAAACCAGGGGAGCAGCCTTGAACAATAGTTCCAATATTTATACACCTTGGCTCATACTTATTAACATTCATCCCACCTATGTCCCTCCTTCATTTATACCCATTTATCCTTCTATCTCAAGCTCCTCCTCTGTTTACTGTTTGCTTCCTTAGCATGGTATTGCATATGCATTTCATTTATTTACATGCCTCTCTGCTAAGAGCGCATGTGTAAGACTTTGACCCTTATCTTCTTTTGGTCACTTGCGGTTTCTCGGTGGTTCTTTCTAGTTTTCTTGCTGACTTCAGCACCATCTCCAAGGCCATATTTCTGCTTTGTCTCCTGACAATAGATGGTGGGCTGCATCCTATTTTTACCCAACTTATCATGTGCTTTGCACCCTATCCTTTTGTTAAGAATCTGCTTACTTAAGCATTAGCAAAGTTAGTTGCTTTTAATATAGCATCCAGCCTTGTGACCAGCGGCTTTAGCTGAGACACAGGAAAAAACTTTTATTCAGCTGCACACCCTGCACTCCCCCAAATCCATATCATTACTCCAACACCCAAAATCCATATCGTTACCCTAACACTACCCAATAAAGGCTAAAAGCGATGGAGAATCTATGCCTGCTTGGCTTCCCTAGGGTGGGCCCTAAGTTAGTAGCTGAAACAAGATAAACTTTTTTTTTCTTTTCTTTAAAGAAATCCAACTCTGTTCTTCTTGAGTTCAGTGTATATTATCAGCAGGGGATGTTTTCTGTTATCAGTGTGGTGCATGGACTTACAGAGTATATTTATCATTTTGGCGCATTGTTTTATTAATCACAGAGGGTTTGGAACAATTTGTTCCATAGCTGAAGCAGCAGCTATTACTGGAACTGGTGGGGTTATGTGCAACAGCCTGCCCTTCTATGATACAGGCACAGCAATGCATCTGTGCTCCACTCTTAGCACCTACCACTGTGGTGGCAGTGCCAGGAGAATTCAGCTCCTCTCTGGGCCTGGCTTTGTCTTCATTGGTAGTAGCCGGTTGCTGATTCCCTTTACAAAATTCTGTTCCCTCTAAATAATATACTGCAAGCATGAATTGTGTGTGTGCAAACATTACATCACTGATGCTTTTCCAAATATAATGCTTTATACATAGGTACAGATGGTCTGTGTTCTTAGTTAAGATTTATGGTTCAGCTGTTTTTATTTTTAAATACAACCTCAAAGTGCTATATAAAGAAAATGTCAAAATTATTAACAATGGGAAAAAGTACAATTCAAAGGCATAATTGTGGGAGTGAATACAGAAAAAGGTTTTTGCCATGAAAAGCTGAAATGTCATACAGTGAAACAGTATTTGTATATATTTTTGAGGGGGGGAGGTTCATGGACCAGATGTGGTATTATAGCTCTGCCCACTGTACTTGGGGCTAGAAGGGCAAAAATAGAAGCTGCTCTTTTGACTTTACATCATCCATTGTTAGCAGCTGTTTGTAGCTGTATTACAGAACAACAGGCCCCACTTGTACCAGGTGTTGCACAGACAGAGTTAAGAGGGCATCCCTGCTTGGAAGAGGCAGTCCAAAGTGGTGATTCTCAACCAGGGTACCATGGCATTGTGTGTGGACATGATTCACAAGATAAACTGAATAGGGATCCCCACTGTCAAAAAAATTATGACTTGTTGTGGTCTCTCTGAGTTCTTTGAAACAGAATACTTTCTCTTTTTTTTCTGTAGTCAGAAAAGCAATTGAAAACTAAGATCTGACATTTTCCAAGGAGTTCCTTGAATCTAACGAGGGGTGCCTTCAGAACAACTGGTCGAAGGGCTGGCCTCATTGTATTGCTAGGTTGAGGTATAATGCATGGCCAACTTGAGATTGCCTGTACCCTGCCTCCCATGCACACAGGCAAACCACTAATTTGAGTAAATTGGAGCTTTAAACTCCAGCAAGGTGACCTGTCTGTATTTAGGAGGGTGGGTTGAAGCTTGAAGGCTTCTGACAATCAAGTTGGCAATGTAGCGAGGATGCAGCAGTAACTTGGTTATAACAGTTTATTGCTGCTAATCCATGCACCCTTCTGATGCAGTCCCTCTGGGTGGCCTGCATTTGTTTTGTAGTGTTTGCTCTCACTCCAGTTACCCTAGGTATGCAGTTTGTGTGACCTTGCTGGCACAAGGAAGGGAAGCTCTAAATAGAGGGTGGGCAAAATGGTTGATCTGGCCAGCAGCCGGACTCCATTTCCTAGCAGCTCCTACCTGCATGGGTGGGGCCAGTTTCCATGGAGACCCCAGCAGCAGTCGCCCTGTGATAGTGTGAGACTGGGGTTTCCATGGAGACCAGCCCCAGCAGTACTGGCAGATGCATGGCAGGACGTAGAGAAGCTTTGGAGCCTGGCTGAGATCTTGCAGTATTGACAGCATGGTCCAGACCCAGGGCAGAGCAGTGATCTGCAGCTTGCACACCCCGGGCAGGGATGTGTAGACAGTGGATCATGGCTTTGCCCCAGCTCCTTGTAGCAGTGACAGTGTGATCCGGAGCTGGGGCAGAGCCGCAATCTGCTGCCTGCGTGCCCCTGCCTGGGGTGTGCAGGCTGCAGGTCGTGGCTCTGCCCTGGCTTTGGACCATGTGGTCACTGCTGCAAGATCCCAGCCTGGCTCTGAAGTAGCTCCACACTCTGCCAGCAGGTGGGGTTTGGGAGGGCATAGCCACCCCAAAATTCCCCATAGTCCCCCATAGACACTCCTCCCAGCAGCACCACCTCCACTGCTGCTGCCTGCCTTCCACAGGCAGAGGCAGCTGAGCCCACCCCACTCCTACCCACAGCACAGTCCCCCACCAGGAAGAGGCTGGTGCTGCTGCTGCCTGCCAGTGCTGCTGGGGCCCTCTCCATGGAAACTCCAGCCTCCTGCTATCACGGCATAGCTGCTGCTGGGGTCTCTATGGAAACTGTCTCCAGCTGTGCAGGCAGGGGCTGTTGGGAAATGGAGTCCACTGCCAGCTGGATCCAGCCTACTGGCTAGACTTTGCCTGCCCCTGCTCTAAATAGTGAAAACAGGTGAAGGATGATGCTTCCATTTCACAGGTGTGAAGCTGGGGCTGAGACACAACCTGATCAGTCAAAAGAGCCAAATGTTTAGGATCTTCCATTAACTATAGGACTGGAAGGTGCCTCATAGGCCATTGAGTCGAGTTCCTCATGGTTGCAGACAACCATTTTCCTAACAGTCGCTGCTGGGTGCTCTGCACATTTGAAGAGTGAGTATTTTGGGTTGCCTTAATGAGGGATTTAACAGCCTAACTTAAGAGTTTACGCTTGAAAATCTCAATGTAGGCAGTTTGTTGGGATCAAAGGTCATGGGCATGCTGCTGTGATGGCAGGGTAGAAATGCCTTCCATAGCTCAGGTACTGGTAGCCTCCAAGCAGTGACAGTACAGAGAACAGCATGAGCTAACCTCTGGAGTATTTATGCATTTTCTTTGGTGGGTTTTGCAGCCCAGGCTGAGCTCCAGTCAAACTGCTTCTGGTAGCCAAGCTACTGTAGTTAGTTTAAGGCGAGCAAGGGTTTGTCCACACCCCAGGTACAGCATAATCAGAGCAGATTCAGGGGATTGAAGCCAGATCTCCTAAACCCTGATGCTAAGCAGCATGCATAAACCTCAGTCTCTCTCTCCCCTAACAATTTTGTTAAGCAGGGCAAGACCCCAAATAGCCAAATCAAGCAGTTTCATGCCATCACTTATCTGGTCCAGTAATTACACATACTAACAAGTCACAGTATCTCAGATAAAGGCAGAGAAGGAAAGAGAAAATGATTTACTAAGACCACCCAACTGTGGCAGAGCTAGGGCTCAAAGCCATGGAAAGGGCACTGTTCTCTTCATTCAGCCTCACCCCTCATCAGTGCATTTGCTTCTTTGATTCCAAATTTATGCAAATGTTCCTTTCCCCATCTCCCAATTCCTCTCACTGTCCATTATTGTTCACTGTTGAAGTTGGCAGCTGTGTTACTCAACATAGTGCAGGTTTTCAGCAAAACATATGTATGAAAAATGATACCCAAAACAAAGCTGCTTTGCATTAAGGACTTGCTCCATGTCACTTGACCTCTCTACACAGTAAGATTCCTGGAATCCCTCCCAAGATTGATGGCAAAACAGCTGCAGATCTGAGTTTTAAGAAATCACACAGTCGGTTCTTATCTGAAACAGGTGTGTGTGGGACATGGTGACCTTGCCTTGTATCAGTTCTGGTCAGTTTGGTAAGGGGTGGGGGAAAAGGATTGTCAAGCAGTATAGGAAGACTGCAGCCTCTGTTTAGGAGAGGAGTGCTGGGGTCCATTTTATGGCAGACATTACCCCAACATGGAAAGAGTTACATAGCCTGCATTTAAACTGACAAATACTCTTTCCTTCTTCATTCTCAGTTCACCCTCATTCTGGAAGGGAGAAGTGAATCTGAACAGAGGTACCAGGCACTTTGAGACAGGTTCTACATTCAGGACATGAGAATGAATCAGACATACAGTCTACCTACCTCCCACTTTAGAAGAAGGTTGAGAAAACCATACAGTAGGCAGTGTTTTGATCATCTGTACCCAGGGAAATTTTCCTCTTAGCTCCTGTTAATCAAAGACCTGTGCCATGAGGCCAGAGGGTTTCTATCCCGGTCACATCCCTAATCATTCCCAGTGCCCTGTTCTAAGCCTTGTATGCTTCTGCTGAGTCCTTTGATGTGGAATAACCAGATCTGTCCAGGATGTACCATTTTTGGATCCTAGCTTCAATTTTGTTCTCTGTCTTGGCCTTTACGAAGGCTGTGGTTAAAAAAAACACCCACAGATGTTGTGGGAGCTTGGTTGGGTCATTTCACTGCTACATTCAGTTCCCTTTCCTGCATTTTTGCCTGTCTTGCCCATTTAGACTGCAAGCTCTTCAGTGCAGAGAATCTCTCACATCATGTGTTGGCACAACACTTGTTACAGTGGTGCCCCAATCTCACCTGGAGCATCTGCGTCATGCTGTGATATTGATGATAATAGTTATGTATCTTGCAGTCTTGTTCACAGGTCTTATTCATGGCTTCACACAAATCCTCACCTCAAGCTAGGAAAGGGTCCCAAGTTTTTAGCTGTTCTTTGAGGGAAAATATTCAAAAGCATTACATTAAGAGAGGCCATCAAAGCTGGTAACCTGAATGATGTACCACTTTGTACTAAAAGGAGCCTTTTGTATCCCGTATTTTTTTTAAGGGTGTATCCAAGGCCAAATTAGCCAAAACTAATTCCAAATCAAAGAGTCCAGAACCATAAGTGGCCCTACTACCAGCAAACATCCTCCACTCACACCTCGGGCTTCAGATGTTTCCAAATCCGTTGGTGGGCATCCTACTTGCAGGCCGTAGCCCGGAGGCTTGGGGTTCGGATGCCCCTGAGTTTTGCTTGTCCTTAGAGCCATAAGGCCCTCAGAGCAAGTAAAGGAGGAGACTCCCATTTCCATAAACTGGGCTTAAAGCTGCTACACCTTCACGTGTACTGACCCATGCCAGAAAAGCAGTTTTCCTGTGATGCGGTTCAGGAAAACTGCCTTCATGGACACAGATGCATAGTATTTCCCCCGCCAGGTTAAGAAGCAACTATGCTTGTCCCGAGCTTTCAAGAGGCCAAGATAAGAACAGGGACTACACATGATCTTAGCCTATAAACAATCCTGTATTTAAACTTTTGTTTTTATTCCATCTCTTTTTCCCAGTACCAGTCTCCTGTGTATCTGAATAGCACACACGAAGCAGGGAAGACAGATAGAGCATATGGAGTGAAAGGAAGTCATCTCCTGAGTCGTCAAAAATAACACCACACTGGAGCCTTCAGAATGTCCTGCTTTTCTAATTCTTTGAGAATTCTGCTTTCTGTAGATAATAAAATTCAAAACACATGAAGCATGCTGTTAGAGTCTGCCCTGCCAGCACAGCAAATGCCACACAATCCTTGCCTCATGCTAATCTTCATGCTAATGAGTTCCCTGGTGTCATGGACCAGCTGAATTCTTTATCCATGTGTTGTTGTTTGTTTACGGTGGCAAAGAAACTCTGGGCCGTGTTGTATGAGGGGATGTACAAATGTACAGAGACATTCAGCTTATAGTCTGACGTGCAATGGTGGGGAGGGGAAACGGAATGAAGAGCCTTGCCCAAGGTGACCCACAGAATTAGCAACAGGGCTCACATTTCCTGAGTCCCAGCCCTCCACTGGGTTATAAGGCCTCTTGTTTTTTAATGTCAACTCTGTGATTGAGCACTCTAAACCAAGGGTTGGCACTGTTTTTGGGCAGAGTGCCAAAAACATCTCCAACCTCAATTTGTCAGAAGTTGGCGTGCCAGGGGTGGATGGCAGGGGAGCCACAAGGGGCCCGCTCCTTGTTGTGGCATCATAGCCTCAGCCCCTTCCTCGCTGTCCACCCTAAGGTGCATGTGCCAAGCAAAATGTCTCCATGTTCCACACACTGGCACCTGTGCCAGGGGCTGCCTACCCCTGCTCTAGAGAAGATGAGCTCTGCCGGTGAACTAGAGGAAGCTACAGAATGACCAGGTCTTATTTGCATGGCTGGTACCAGGGTGAACAATTTTGGCTGTTTCAGTTCAAATTCATACGTCTTGGAGGGGGGGTCAATGGGATTTTTCTCATCTGTGTTGTGCAACTAATGGGCAGCAAATCTAGGTTTAATATGCTGTTGAGGTACCCTAAGCTGTACCTCCGTTTTGAATTACAAAGTAGTGAGATGGAAGCCAAGGAGGACAGCAGGGATTACATAAGAATAGGGAGATGAGGACACTGTTGAAGTGCCTTGTTTCAAACCTTTTCTTATATGATCCCTTGCTAGGGTTGTGGAGCCAAAGAGACTACGGAGAGTCTTCCTTTTCCAGAAGTCCCTAGAACTGAAGTTGCTTACAGCTGGCTGAGACGGCAGAGCCTCAGGATGTGGCCTCAGGGCTGTGGGTGAAGACAGTGTGGTGATGCAGTGGAAGCAGTAATGAGGCACTCACTCCCCTACAGTAGTGAGGTGGTGGTTGTGATGTATGGGCCGACGGAACCACAGCAACACAGGCGTTGTAGCTTAAAATAGTGGTGCAGAGATGGCACTGCATCTAGAGGCAGCAGCATGGTGAGAAACGGAGTTGTGGCTAAAGTCAACAGCAATGAGGCATTTCTTGTGGAAGTGAGGCAGCACTCCTGGTGAGAGTCTGGAGACAGACCTGCTTGCATGCAGTCCACGGCACTGGGACTTTGCTAGGTGCAGACGACAAGCTGGGAGTGGTATCACTAGAAGGAAAGAGGAGGTGAGGCTGGAGTGAGGAATCATGGAAACCTTTGCGCATTGAATATTCACATGAGGAGATAGAGAAACTGAGGTAAAAGATCACTGTCCAAGATACTGTGGGGACAGGTGTTTACTCTCTGTTTGCATAAGCATCCACTTGATGCGTTGGATGCGTTTTCCCAAATTCACGCTATGTTCCTTTTCCCTGTGTTAGTTTTCTGTTTTGTATACAGTTCCAGTGCTTGGGAGGGGGCAGGTATTGGTCACTGAAGGTATTTCCTATGTTTCTACCTCAAGGTGGTGGAGTTGTTCATTCCAAGAGGAGCCCCTAGTTGTTTGAACCCAGCCAACACAAAAAGGCTGAAATCTGCTCAGTGCTGTAGACCTGATTCACTTCCATCTCTTGCATCTTTGATGCAGGAGCAATGTACATTCAGTTTGCAAAACACAGGGTGCAAAGCAGTGGAAAACTGGGCCTGTGCATATGGGAAGGAGACTGCCTGTACAAAACACAGTACAAAAGGGTTTCTGCTATAGAAATAAGACTGTCTGGCTTAAGATAAGGGGGTCAGTGGCCTGAGCTCTATATGCAGCCTCAGTGAAAGTATCACAGGAATACTGTGTCTTAGCTTTGATGTCCACTCTTCGTAACGAATCATTCAAGGACTGGGAAGACTTTTTTCTAGTGGAAACTTTCACAGCTCAGTCTGTTTAGTTTAGCAAAGGGAAGACTGAAAGGTGATTTGATCATGGTTTAAATGTGCCTGCATTTTTTTTCTAGGAAAGGGCTCCTCACTCTAGGAGACAGAGTTATAACAAGATCCAGTGGCTGGAAGGTTGAAGCCAGATAAGTTCAAAGCTAAAAATAAGTGGCAGATTTTTAATAGCGAGAGAATGAACTATTCAAACTGTTTACCCGAGAGAGGTAGGAGGGTTCTGCTGTCACCTGTCATCTTTAAATCAAAATGGGATGCTTCTTAAAAAAAACAGATATGCTCTAGTTCAACTAAAAATGACTTGGCTTGATGCAGGAATGACTGGGTGAAATTCCCTAGCTGGTATTAAGATGATTAGACCTCATAATCTAGAAAGAAGCTGAGTAGTACTTTTTGGGATACACATCTGGGAAAAGTTCAAAGTTACTTTAAAATAAGTACTCCCAAGCAAAACAAAAATCCTGCATCCTGCAGCCCTTATTATCCTTACACAGCTTCTGATGGCTTGTGCTAATGATCTTAATAGTACTCATCTGATTGGAGTCCAGAGCAGCTGCCCCCTTTGTTACAGGTGCCAGAACCAAAGCCAAACTTGAGCTGGATTTAGCAAATCCAATTACCTCTGGATTATGCTCCCTTCTACTTATCATAATAACTGGTTGATAGCAGACACCCTGTTAAAGAGCTACTGGACAGCCAGAGCATTCTTATTTTATGCGCTTTTAAAAAAAAAAATCTGTGGTTTAATTTATGTAATAGTGCTTATCAGACATGTTTTACATTTAAAGTGAAGTTCAGCTTTGATAGTGATAATGCTGAACAACTAATTTCACTGTCACTTAGATTTATTCACCCTGACAGGAATTGTATTTTAATTGTTTCCTATCTCTCAAAGATATTTCTTGATTAATTTGAGGGAGGGGCTTTGTCAGAGGCAGCAGGAAGGGAATACAGAGTACATCCTAATTAAAAAAAAAAAAAAAAAGAGATTGGATTATCTCCCACGAAGCTATTATTAAACACAAAACCCTGTGGAAAAAAAAGAAGGGATTCTGTCTCCTGCAGCATAACAATGTGTGTGCATATGTGTACCTTAAAATAGCGGGTCTGGATCTCAAAACCCAACAGGAGTGAGAGATTTAAGGTTGAAATGACCTTGTAATAAGGAAGAATTCTCTCACAACAGAAAGATGCCTGAATGAGCAGACTTTTAAAATTGGAAAGCCTTCCCAATCAGTCCAAAGCAAGCGCCTCATACATTCGTACAAGGACTGAAATGACTTTGACAACCAGGAGCTCTCAGCGGGCAGGGACACAAAGTGGAGGACATCTAGGAGCAGATATTCAGGAAGGGTCCTTTTTACACCATAAGTGTCATCATTGATGGCAAAGGGTATAGGGTTGCATGACGGGAAAATCCAGCTTCAGAGTGATTACTCAAATGCTTTAAGTATGCATTGGATCAAATCTTTAGGGGCAAAAATGCCCCTGTTTTTGATTTCTTAGACAAGCACAGCCACTCCAGCTAAGAGTAGGTACTTTGTGAGTGTTGTCAGCTGAACCCCTTGGTGGCGCTCGTCTGATCACTTGGGTTCCTCTGGGGGGTCTGAGGTAGAGAGAGGAACTAAGATCAGGGTGGCACCAATGTCACTGCAAACCTACTTTGGCTCTGGTACTTTGTTGTTGGTGCAGGGACACAGGAAGGGAAGGGGCCATCTTGGCACTGAGCTTGAATTATCTTTGGTAAGATAGCAGCGAGGAAGAGCAAATCCCTGGCTCTCTACTCAGGAATTTACACAAAGTTCTGTCCCTGAGATGTCTGATCCCCTGAACTCTTTTCTATTGTAGAAATTATTTTCTTGGCCATGAAAATCTTTTGAGAGACAAGGCAATGCCATTTTTTCAGGGTCTTTTTTATTTATTTATTTTTAGGGGTAGATCTGTGTTAAGGTGAAGCTGCTAATGAAATTTGGGGGGCAGATTTTTAAAGGTATTTAGGCATCTGAGGACAAAGATGGTCATCTAAATATCTTTTGAAAATCTGGGCCAATTTGCTTTATTAAGAGTCTGTATTATTGCAAGGGGCATGCCTGTTCAGCTGCCTCTCCAACAGCTCTCCTAACTGATGTGGGGATTTAGGAACATTCTTCAAAGTGGCTTGCATACAAAAACACATTTTTTTAAAACCACTAAGAGTTGAAATAAGTATATGAGGAGTCTATGTGGAAGTATAGTGAATCTATAGAGACCTTGGTCCTCCATTTCTCTGACAGACCTGGAATATACTGTTTGAGGAACTTAACAGAGCAAAGGGGTCCCATGTGGGAGGTCATTCTTTAATTTAGGAGTCCCTCTGTCCACATGGTGTAATAAAATCAGTGAAAGTGCTTTTGGACTAAGGTGGGGGAACAGAATTTGGCATGTGGAAACCCTTTTCCCTACTGTTTGAGTTTTTTGCAATGGATCCTTTGCATCTAGGAGACATTTCCACAGCACTTCGTCACACCCCTGGACTGTGGAAGCCTGAGAAATCCCTGTCCCTTCCAAATTCTTGCCTCCATAGCTTCTGTAGCCAGGGAATGTATCCTCCCCTGCGCCTTCCAATCCAACCATTTTCTTTCCTTTTCTCTATATATTCTTCTGCTCTGCAGTATCATTTACTAATTATACTATGACCCACTCTTGACCTTGGCTTGCAGGTTCAAGACCTTTCCATCCTTGGGCAGGAATTCACAACTAAATCACTGCTGTAGTTGTCCAGGCTTCCCCACTCTCTCCACAGAGGGTGGGACATCCATTTGTATCCTGTCAGCAGTGGCTTTGCACTGAGTATTCTGGAGTTCTCATTCCCCTTCCTGGTCCTGACTTCTTAGTGCCTTTGTAAACCATGGT